CAACCTCTCCTATCTCTTGGCTGATGTCAGTTTCATTTCACTTTCCCGAACACCTAGTCTAAAATTCCTCTCCTTCCTTTGCTTCTTTCTGGTGTTTCCTTATCTATCTTCCACCTTGCTTTATATTCCTTAGAATGCTGCTCTCTACCAAAATTACAGTGTGTACCATGTTTAGTGTTTATTACCTCTTTACCCTTCACCTATGCGGCCTTTTTCTTACTAACCTCTCTATCTGCAGCATCAGTTACTTAGCAAGAACACAATATGTTTGTCTAGTGGTTGGAGAGATGGCTTAGGGATTAATAGAGCTTGCTGCTATTATAGAGGACTGGAGTTGGATTTCTAGCACCCATGTCAGACAGCTCACAATCACCAGTGATTCTAGCCAGTGCCACTTCTGGCCTCTGGGGAGCACATAAACACACATTTGCATGCACACACCTTGTGACACACTAATATCCTTGGAAGCCCATATGCAGCCAGGTTTGGGAAAGGGCTTCAATTCAAAGAATGGTTTTGCTATTTGAACTACCAAATTCTGAAATTCAAAATTTCATGGGAGGTTGGTTTTTTCCCTCCATCCTGAGTGTGATGAGAGATCTCTTACTCCCTCTGAAGCCTGGCAAGAGCCTCTAGAGAGAGCCATCCTCACCCCTTAGCTGGCAGAGTCTAGAGTTTGTTCTGGTTGGTAGTTTGACCAGCTTACAGACTTATTCCTGAAGAATTTCCCCAAGATAAATGTTGGTTGTTTTTCTGCCTGCTTTTTAATTTTTGATGAAACAGCAGACATGTTTCTTTTTGCTGGAAGAATCCCATATTATAAACAGGCTGTAAGGGGAAAATACTTACTAGCTGCCCAGCCCACACTTCAAGACTGCAGAGAAGCTGAAAAAAAAATGGTACTATTAACTTTAGTTTTTAAAGATTTATTTATTGAGTTTTTAAATTTATGTATATGCAATGTGCCTTCGTGAGTTTATGTGCACCTTGGTGCCTTCCAGAAGGCACTGGATCTCCTAGACCTGGAGTTATAAGGTGGTTGTGAGCCACCTGATGTGGGTTCTGGGAACCAAACCCAGGTCCTCAAGGACAAAGCAAGTGCTGTTAACCCCTGAACTATCTCTCCCCCCCAATTATTCATCTTTTCAGATTAGTTTGAAAATTAGAGGCATCGTGATAGTTGACTCCTAGATGCTTCTGTGTCTATATCTCCTAAATCAAGGCTTTTCTATTAATATGGTTATCATACAAGAAATTTAATGCTAGTTCTACATCATATAATATGCATCCATTTAAAAAAAAATCTCTTAGCTGGGTGTGGTGGCACATGCCTTTTACCCCAGCACTCGTAAACATGTATGTGCATGCACACACACAAGGAGTGCCATTTGGTTAGCATAATTCCATGTAAGAGGCCCTTCACATGTTTATCTGTTGACCTTCTCCAGCTGTTTGGTAAGAAGATCAAATACTAAAATCTTTAAAGATGAAGAAATTATTGTTTAGGAAAGACTTAGCTTTCTGGAGTTTTAAGACTAATGAGATCATTTGTTAGAACTGAAACTCAGCCCCTCCATTTAATAATTCATAATAATAATAATAGCAACAAAAAATCTTTTTTTTTCTTTTACTTTTTTTTTTTTGGTTTTTTGAGACAGGGTTTCTCTGTATGTTTTGGAGGCTGTCCTGGCACTTGCTTTGTAGACCAGGCTGGTCTCGAACTCACAGAGATCCACCTGCCTCTGCCTCCTGAGGAGTGCTGGGATTAAAGGTGTGTGCCACCAATGCCCGGCCAACAAATCTTAATTTAACAAAAGAACAAGAATGTTTGCCCATCATCCAATAAACTTTGCCGCTTTTGAGGTAATACTGCTTGTACTGAAACTACATGGAGCAGGGCTGAAGAGATGTCAGGAATTAAGAGCATGTCCTGCCCTTGAAGGGGACATGAGTTCAGTTCAGGTGACTGCTCACAACTTCCTATAACTCTGGCTCCTTGGGACCCAGCACCCTGTTCTGACCTCTTCAGGCTCCTGCACTCACACATGCACAGTCTCACACACAGACACATAATTTAAAAATTATAATAAATCCTTACATGAGAAAAGGGAATATACGGAGCAGGTGGAGAACTGGATGATAAACCTGATTTGTATTGTACTCATTTTAATTCATATACTAGTATATATTTAAAATAAAACCTTTCTTGAATAACAACTATTTCAGTTCAGCAGTACTGTGGGCTTTTAATTTTCAGCCACAAGGAGCTTTAAAACCTGTCGTCTTAATTATCTTCCTTTTCGAATAGCTAGAAGGTTGGGATTTCAGGAGGCACTGGTGACTCTGATCTTCCCTGGTATTTTCTTTCTCTGGAATCCTTGTTGTGTGAGATACTGTCCCCCTCTCCTTCCTTTTTGTGTTGTCCTTAGCCTTTGCTGTCTGTTGCTCCCACAGAGTTCCTTCTATTGTTTCCTTTCTTCCTTATTTCCTCCCTGCTCTACATGTCATCTCCTTTCTTTCCATTCAGGACTATGAGAGCAAACTGCAGGCCTTGCAGAGGCAGGTCGAGACTCGCTCTCTGGCAGCAGAAACAACGGAAGAGGAGGAGGAGGAGGAGGAGGAAGGTGAGCCCCACAGCCTTGTCTTTTTGAACCAGTGTTACCAGACCAGTCCTTTAGTCCCTTACAAAGCTGGGTTCCTCAGATTCGCCCTGCTGTTTATTGCCCGTGTGCTGAGCTTGTTAAAGGACGTGCAGTGCTGCAGCTCTAGGCTGTGTCCTACAAGGTGGCTGCCTCTGCCTCCCAAGTGCTGGGTCTAAAGGTGTGGGCTACCGTTGGCCAGCGCCTGGAGACTAACAAGTTGTATAGGAGCCTCTCCATGCAGCTATGGCAATGCACCCAATAAAGAAAGAACTGCAGTGGAAAGTTTATAATAAATTAATATAAGAAATTACGGGGTTTTTTTGTTTTTGTTTTCTTTTTTAATGAGAGTAGTATGTGTGATCCCAACACTTGGAAGGTTGAACAGGAGGATGAGGAGTTCAAGGCCAGTCTTGACTACATAGCAGATTTGAAGCAAGCCTGGGCTGTATGAGACCCTGTCTCAAACAAACCAAGCAACCCAGAGCCATGTTCTTTGATTTTAGGTTTTTCTGAAGTGGCTATAGTGCGGAGGAAGGGTGAAGCTCCTCACGGTTATGAAGTCACTGGTGTATGTGCTTTTCTGTTCCTTTCAGTTCCTTGGACACAGCATGAGTTTGAGTTGGCTCAGTGGGCCTTCCGGAAATGGAAGTCTCACCAGTTTACTTCATTGAGAGACTTACTCTGGGGCAATGCAGTATACCTAAAGGAAGCCAATGCCGTCAGTGTGGAACTGAAAAAGAAGGTATGAAGGGTATCTCGAGGCAGAGTGGGTCCGCTTAAATTAAACTAACCCTTCACTTGGGGGAACTCAGCTGTTCTGTGCTACGGAACAGCTTTATTCCACATATGTGCTGGCACAACAGGTAGTAATCAAAAGTTTACAGTTGTTTTCTGGCTCATTTTATAAGTCTGAGTATTTTAAATGAGAGCTGGGTAAATCTGTTAATGGATAAATGCTTCTGTTGGACTTCCAGGGAAAAAAGTCTTGGTTTTCTTTTAGTTCTCTACTTTAGTTTGTACCTCTGAGACCTTTATGCCCCTTTGTCACCAATTTGCTCCTCTTCTGAGAGGCCACACTCAGACAGCCAGCGTTTAATCCAGCTGCAGTAGAGTTGACCTGCTAGTTCCATAGCTCTGTTGCCTCATCTACAGACTTCGGTTGGCAGCAGAACCTGCTACCCAGGGACGTGAGAGATGAGGGAGAACGGGTGCACACAGAACTCTACTGGCAGGACCTACACCCGCCAAAGCCCTAAACTGCTGCTGGTGACTGGACACAAGGCCTTGTGCTTCCTAGGAAGCCCTCCACCACTGAGCTAGCCCTCCAACATCCAAATATTGCTATTAAATTTCCACATGGAATCTTTGATTCTTCTGTGTGCCTCACAACTCCAGAGCTGGGGGCTGTACTGTATAGTAGGAAGAAACACAGACTACAAGACTGGAAAGTTCACTATCTTCTCCTAGGGGGGTGTTTTACATCTGTGAACTCAGGTGTCACCTTCACTCAGGATGTCCGAAACACTTTGGAATTAGTTATTGACCATTCTCTTCATTGAGTGGACTAAAGTCAGGAACTGTATCTTTTCTTATTGCTATTCCTGTTGTTTAATTAGTATTTGTTGGTAAAAATACAAGGTAGTATAGCAAGACATAAATGATATGATACAGTCACAATACTTGCTACGTAGTAAATGCTCTTATGATTAATAGTTACCCTCTGCCTTCAAATACAAAGCTGTGTATGCATCTTCTCTCATTAGCCAATGACTGTGTCCTCCTCCTGATCTCTTGTTTATATTCCACTAAAATTTGTTATTCTCCCACTAAAATATATTTACTGAGGTTTTAGTTTGTGGGGAAAAAAAATCACCACTCCAGGAAAACAAAGTTTGTAAATACATTAGTTTAAAATTAAGATTGTTCCCTGTCTTTAAAATGTAGGGGGCCAGTTTTTCAGCTAGCCACAGCTATTTATTGGATATATGCTCTGTGTCTGACCTCTGCCCCCTTGGCTATGCTATATAGCCTTGTCTCTGAGTCTCACCTGCTGAGATAGTGACGGCACACTTGTCTCTGAGTCTCACCTGCTCAGGTACTTACGGGCACACTTGTCTCTGAGTCTCACCTGCTGAGATAGTGATAAGCACACTTGTCTCTGAGTCTCACCTGCTGAGATAGTGACGGTACACTTGTCCATCTTCACCCTCTCCCTCAGGTGCAGTTTCAGTTTGTTCTGCTGACTGATACACTGTACTCCCCTCTGCCTCCTGAATTACTTCCCACGGAGATGGAAAAAACTCACGAGGACAGACCTTTCCCTCGTACGGTGGTGGCAGTGGAAGTCCAGGATCTGAAGAACGGAGCAACACATTATTGGTCTTTGGATAAACTCAAGTAGGAAAATACTATTTTTAAAAAGAAAATAGCCAGGTATGGTGGTGCACACCTTTAATCCCAGCACTCAGAAGTCTCTGAGTTTGAGGCCAGCCTGGTCTCCAGAGCGAGTGCCAGGATAGCCAGGGCTACACAGAGAGACCCTGTCTTGAGAAAACAAAAACAAAAATGTAAATTGCTGAAGTGGGTTCCCTCACACTCACTTGTTTCTGAAGACGACGTCAGTTTCTTTTCTGTGGCTTCTAAGTGCTGTGACCAGTCAACAGTATTACCATCCATCCATTTTTTTCTCAAATCAGTGAAACTCATTTCTCAGACAACTTTGTCATTTGTTGATTTTTAAATTTACTTTCATAAGCCCTCTTAAATTTTAAATGAGCCAATTCTCTTATTTATTTCTATCTTAAATCTTGCAATTATTTATCTTACTTTAATGCTGGGCCTCTTGGTCATCTTTAATAAACAAGGGAGTGACCATCTCATTTCTTTTATATCTAGTATGATAAAGTAATTCCTACTATCTAGTTATATTTGAGATGCCAAACACCACTGAAGTACATTTATTTCATGACTGTAAGTTTAGTCAAATTAGATCTCTCTCTCTCTCGATCTCTCTCTTACATTTATTTCATGACTGTAAGTTTAGTCAAATTAGATCTCTCTCTCTCGATCTCTCTCTCTCCCTCTTCCCCCCCCTCTCTCTCTCACACACACACACACACACACACACACACACACACACACGCATGCGCGCGCACGCACTTCTGAAAACATCTGACTATATAGGCTGTTTTTACTTTTGGTGGCTTCTCTCTGTACTCACACGTTTTGGATACTGAGCATTTTGATGTCTGTACTTTTGGCTGTTCCTGTCTTTAATAGCATTAAATGGTAGGAGTGGCTTCTTACAAATGTCTCATATGCAAGAAGTTTCCAAAGCGGCGTTTTAATGCAATCTCATGGTCTTAACTCAATGTGCCCCATATTTGCTGAATAGGCAGAGACTGGATTTAATGCGGGAGATGTATGACAGAGCAGGCGAAATGGCTTCTGGTGCCCAAGACGAAAGCGAAACGACCATGACCGGCAGCGATCCATTCTATGATCGGTTCCACTGGTTCAAACTTGTGGGAAGGTATGTAAGGATTTTGTTGTCTTAAAAAATAATAAAAGTACTTTTGACTTTTTAAAGTGTTAGTAGAGAGTATAGCGGGGAAAGGGAGTACATAAAAACTCCTCAGGCAGGGGTTGTAGCTCAGCTAGGATGGCCCAGGTTCAATTCCCAGCACTAGAAGAAAAAAACAAAAAACAAAAAAGCCACCTCCTCTCTAATCTTATCCACTCAGAACCACTGTATTATTTAATATACTTTCTTCACAGTATGCATACTATATTTTTTATGTGTATGGGTATTTTGCCTGCGTGTATGTCTGTATACCATATGCATGCCAGATGCCCACCCAGGCCAAAAGAGGGCATTGGATCCCCTGGAACTGGACTTACAGATGGTTGTGAGCTACTGCGTGAGTGCTGGGAACCAAGTCTGGGACCTATGCAAGAGCAGCCAGTGCTCTTCACCACTGAGCCAGCTCTCCAGCCCCCTGGTGAATTTTAAGCTTATTAGTTTCAGAATTTTGCGTTACTTTTTAATGCCCTATGATGTTATGTAACAGAACTGACTGAAAAGGAGTTCCTGAAGTACAGTATTTTGTTGAAGTCAACCTTTTCCATTCCACTCTGATAGTAGACTAGGCTTTGCAGAGGGGGATTGGCCAAACACATCTCACTCAAGCTTGTGCTGCTCTGGTTTTCTGCTCCGAGCTGACAAGAAAATTCACTTAAGCCTTATTATCTCTCTTACGAGTGAGTGGCTCTTGGGGAACAAGATGCTGATCTTTCGTGTGAACTGGAGAACATGAATATTTTGTGGTGTACCATTTACCCAAGAGGCTCTACTCATGGATGCTCTTGCTCTTGTTCTGAGGCTCTGTCCTGACAGGTTGTTTCAGTCTGCCCACTCCCTTTCCCCGGGCCATGCAGTCAAGGCTCATTCTCCTCTTGTACTTTTCTGTTTGCTTTTACCATGTGGATTCTGTCCTGTTGGCACCTGAGCATCCTGTTTAACCAACTATTCCTCTCTCCCTGCCTGTGTTACTCGGCGTCTTACCTGGTGTCTAGCTCCCCTATTTTCCACGGCTGTGTGAATGAGCGCCTTGCCGACCGCACACCCTCCCCCACTTTTTCCACGGCCGATTCCGACATCACTGAACTGGCTGACGAACAGCAGGATGACATGGAGGATTTTGATGATGAGGCATTCGTGGATGACACCGGCTCTGACGCAGGGACGGAAGAGGGATCAGATCTCTTCAGTGATGGGCATGACCCATTTTACGACCGATCCCCTTGGTTCATTTTAGTAGGAAGGTTGGTGAGGTTATTGTGAGAAAGGCAAAAAGGGACCAGCTCTTGTTCTAAATGCCTCTTTGTGCAATTTTGGATAATCTTGCATTAGCTACTTACTTCATGAACACACAATCCTTCCTGAGTCTTCCAGTGTTTAGAGGTCTATGAAGGCCAGTGTGGCTAGGAATAAGCACAGGCATTGTCTGTGAGGCATGGTCTACTTAGTACACTATACTGCGTCTAATGAAGACTACTTTGAGGACAGCTTGACCCAAATTGCCCCCCTAATTAAGACTCAGATGTAATGGGTTCAACAAATGTTACTGTGGTCTGGATGATTCATCTCTAAAGGAATGTGGTGGGTGAATCGTAGGGGATAAAATGCCCAGGAACACAGAAAGCCTGAGGTTATGCTAAAGAATCTATGGCACCTTGTAGATAAGAGGACTACAGGGGACCTGGTCCTATGAAAGAATCAGGAGTGCCTAGCTCTCCTTTGTCAACAATGGCTGTCTTGTGTCTAGTTTCTGAACCTATCTGCAGGTCTTGGGCTTCTGCCAGAAATAACTTGTAGGGTTCATGATTATAATCTCAGAAAGTTATCCATTGTCACTTTCATCAGTATTTGTTTGTAGTATAGGAAACTGTTTTACCTTGAGGTCCCAAGCCGAGTCATCGTTTCTGGCTCTTGGTGTGCATATCCCTCTGTCAGAGAGGCCTAGGTTACCATATTTCTGTTGCCCACATCCACTCTTCATAATGAAGTCATTTTGATAGTTGAATGTTCATTGCTTTAAGCTGGGAATGGTAGTACACACCTACAATCCCAGCACTTGGGGGTGGAAGTAGGAAGATTGTATACTTGGCTACATAGAGAGTTTGAAGCTCGCTTGGGACACATGAGACTCTTGTGTAAAAAAATGCAAACAAAGTCTGGCGGTGATAGTGTATGCCTTTAATCCCAGCACGTGAGAGGCAGAGATAGACGGATCTCTGTGAGTTTGAGGCTGGCCTGGTCTACAGAGTTAGTTCCTGGACAGCCAAGTCTACACAAAGAAACCCTGTCTGAAAAAAACAAAAACACAAGCAAAAAAATTCAAGGTTAGTGACGTATTAATCTACCACTGTTCAGTGGGTAAGCACTAGTTACTTGTCTCCTGACACAATAGAGAGACGGGGTTAAGACTTTGTTGTGTCTTAGTTAAGTCTTGTGGTATTGGACCCCTAGTGGGAACTCAGAACAGATAATGATAAGAGCAGAAAGAAAAGCTTTCAGATAGAAGTGAAGCCTAAATTAATATGGCGGGCTATGAGTTTTACATACAGATTCTCTATAACCAAATGTGATGAAATTATGTAGCCATGAATATTGTTTGTTTGTGTGCATTGCTAGTGTTAGGATTCTGGAGATGGCATTTTATATTAAAATGAGAAAAGCATGTAGTGTCCAGAGTGTTTTATTTTCAGTGCACTTCTGCTGGAGTCTAAGAAGAACCAGATTTGGATCATTAGCTTAGTCACTTTCTACAGCTCCTATATCTGCCATGTTCTATAGCACACACTATGAGGAGTAGGTAACTTCATCTTCCATGGCCTGGTGAAGAAAATCCTGACAGAGTGGTCTGGAGGCAGGTACCTTGAGTCCTGAGCATCTCTGTCACTAACTTAGGACAAGCAACTTAAATGAGTTAGGAAAAAAGAAGCCTTAAAAAAAACCTTTTTTCCCCTTCATCTTTTACATTCCATTATCCATACAAGCAAAATTAATATAGCCATTAAGACTTCTGCTTAGGAGCCAGGCATAGTGATACACCGCAGAGGCAGACAGGTCTCTGTGAGATCAAGGCCAACCTGATCCACATAGTGAGTCCTAGGAGAGCCAGGGCAAATAGCGAGACCCTGTCTCCAAGAGAAAAGGGGAAGAAAAAAAAAAAAAAAGACTTCTGCTTAGCAGTATTTGTATCTTGAGTCAGTTTTATGAAAGAGTTAAGTCAAAATCCTTAATGTGGACACTTACTGGGTTAAATAAGGTTCTTTTTCCTAGTTTTATTCCTTTGTCATACTATATATAAGAATAAAAATAATGCAGTCAACTCTGCACTGATTTTATTTGTGGAGCTATAGACTTAAGATTGATGTTTTCACTTGTTTGGATTTCTGGGCTCTAGAACTAACACTGCCTTGCGAGAAGGGGACTGAGGTGTTGGTGATGAGCTGGGGAGAACTCAGTGGTGATTTCTCTGGGTTCAAATCCTATTACCAAACAGAAAGATCCTGGGAAAAGGTGAAATCATAGCTGTCAGTAAAGCGAAGAATAGCTCTCCAGTTTTGCCCTCAGCCACATTCGTTCAAAAGAGCAACATCATCCAGGTGTGCAGTAGTTTCAGGATGTGTCAGACTTACAACTCCTTTCCTGTTTTTATAAGGTGAGGGTTAGATTTCCATATTGGTACTTCATTATAAATATAACTCACTTGTAAAAATTTTCATGTTTCCTTTGAATTCCATTTGTAGGTTTGTTTCTTGGCCATGGCTGCCTCTGGTGATTCTTTGTATCAGTAGTAAAAGAGCTTGTCCCTTTAGCTATTCTCTTATAGCATGTTGGGATGTTATGAACCATCATCATAACTTGGGATGAAATGTAAAATATATGTTAGTCTTCTGGGCTACAGGGGACAAAAGATGGTTATTTTGTGACTTTTCTCAGGCACCTCACCCGACATCCTTCTGCATCACCATAATTATGCTGATTTTCTTTATGTTGACAAATTAGTTTCTCTTAGATGTAACTTCACATTGTTTTCTGCTAATGTGTCTTCTACATCTTCTCCTCTCTCATCCCTGTTCTCCTTCAGTCTGCTAGGTCAAAGTATAAGGACATTCAATACAGAGTCAACCATGAAATTCTAGTTTAGAAGCTTCCGAGGTGCACCTTTATACAGCACTGGGCTGAAGGCTGTACCCCGGGAACACGACAGAGAGCTGTCTAGTGAGTGCATCCATGTGTCACAGAGACAATGACTCTGCCTTGCCATAGACTCTTTCCTAAAAATGAAGGCACACAATGATGCCTTCAGTGCTTTTATGTTTAGAAAAGACTTTGCCATGGACAGAAGGAATTGTCACCTTTAATGTGTAATCCAGCATTACTTTATGATGATATGCCTATGAATATATGTTTTTAAAAACTAGTAGTTCTTGCGCTGGTGACATTGCTTAACAGTACAGTGTCTGCCTAACTTGTCAAGGTACTGAAAAACATGCTCAGTTTCCTAAAGAACACATGCACTAGAGTGGTTTTTACTTTTTCCTAATAATTATAGTTAACATAGTAAAATTAAGTAACAGCAAGAATCTCTAAGTGTTCTATGTAGTCAGTCTCTATCATAAGTCTACATAAGTCAAACTAGTATAAAGTTAGGTGGCTTGCTTTTATGCCCCTTGTATGACCCATCTTTCTGAAAGTTTTTCACTTCTATATAAAGTGGGTCACATACATTCCTGGGTTCTAACATACATGGACATTCGCTTACCAGATATTGAGTGCATTCACTGTAAGCCATGCCTCTGAAGATAGGTGAGTAAAACTAGAGATGGTTCCTGTCCTCCCAGTCTTATAGTCTGGTGAGTGATAAAGACACAAAGTAATAATCACATAAATGCAAATGATAGCCACTATGAGAGGGTTGTGTGTGTCACTCGAGCTATATGCTGTTGGGAGGACCTGTCCTGGCATTGACAATAAGAAATAAGGGTGTGAAACCCACGCATGAGATGGAGGAGGGTGCATGCAGAGAGGTCTACAGGAGAGACATGCGGTGGCTCTCAGTGGTCCAGACATGGAAAGTGGGCAGGTCCAACTGGAATGTCATTGAGGCAGAAGTGTAGTCTCTGTGTGTGCTGGCTTTGGGAGTGAAATTTGGTTCTATATATCAAATTCTTAGTTTATAAAACTCGGTCATGGTAGTGGTATTTGATCCTACTGATCCTCTTTAGATTACATTTTCATGAATAAGTTTCTGTTCAACAAAAGTTTAATCCTCTGTGTTAATATTCCCCCCTTGCTTTGTAGCAGACTGAAAGGGAATTAGACATAATGATACGATTTCCTGATCATTTGCAGTTATTTTTGTTTGCTTTTCATTCATACTTCATTTATGTTTGTAAATGTTATTAATGTATTTTACCTATTTTCATAATCTCTTTTATTGTTTTGAGTTGAAATCCTGAGTATCCATTTCGTCATTCTTCTCTCTATGTATTGTAAATGCCAGCTCGGGAAATGCAGCAAACAGTCCTGTGCATCAGGTTTAGTTGTGTTTAGTTTCCTGGTGTAATATTTACTCTTTGTCTTTTATGTACAAAGATCAGCATATACCAAGTGAGAAGACAGGAGTAACAGTAGGAACTAGATTCCACTTTTCTTTCCAATCATTGGAACGAGTGCTCTTCCAATTTGTGATTACCAGTTTTAATTCCTTTAAAAAAAAATGAACAGGGAAAAAAAATGAACAGGGGCTGGTGAGCTGGCTCAGTGGGCAAAGGCACTTACCACCAAGCCTGACTATGTGACCTTGATCCTTGAAATCCACATGGTGGAAAGAGAGCAGACTCTTCCACAGTTGTCTTCCATCCCCCACTCTCTGGGGACATGCCATCCCCTCACCTGCAACACACACACACACAGTCTAGTGAGAGCACATTAAATAAAATATCTACAAAATAATGAACCCTTTAAAAGCACAAACATGACAAGACTTGCCTAGTTTGTTAGAAATATTTCAACTGTTGGCCTATAATCTCAGTTACTTGGAAGACTGAGGTAGAAGGACAGAGATTTTTAATGCTTGCCTAGGCTGCAAAGTGAGTTCAAAGCCAGCCTGAGTAATTTAGTGAGACCCTGTCTCAGAGGGCTGGGGCCTTAATGTAGTCAATATAAGGCTGAATTTCTCCTCCAGGACCACAAAGAAAGAAAATGGAGGCAAAAGCAGGAGAGACATATAACTTCCCTATTATTAGTGACTTTGGTTTGAGGAGCAAAGGGCAACTCCATAGGGGCTGGCAGTGTCCTCTCCCTTAGCATTTATCTTGATGCCCATTCTCCTGTGAGCTCACTACTCAGAAATTTCTGGCAACACAGCCTCTCTGCGTGTCTGCTTCTCTCACCTTTTAACTAGTCCTTTAAGTAAAACAAAGACTCATGATGCTGTGATGTAAAATCCACTTAGAACTAGTAACTGTATTTCAGTCACATTTCCCTGCCTTTTTTTTTTTTTTTTTTTATCTCTTGGTTTCTGTTTTGTGTATAGTAAGAAGCCAGAGCTCTTGGTACATCCTTACCTCTGGAGGTGAAGCTCTTCAGTGCGCTCCTCTCCTCTGCAGAAATCACAGTCCTTGAACATCTACTTCCAATTGTTACTCTTATACCTATGTGTGATTTTTTTTTAAGAGAGTAATTTGGTGTAAGTTGGTCTTCGCACTTGCTTATGAATTGATCACACGATAAAACAGCTGGAGGCAATTTAAGATGTTGGAATTCGGAGGCGATCTTAAAGGGCCCAGGAGCCAGCTCTGTTTGGGGAAATACTCTCAATTGGTGGAAAGCCCCACTCTTCCCTTCATCAGCTGTTCTGATGTTTTTCTCTGGGTTTCTGTCTACAGGGCATTTGTCTACTTGAGCAACCTGCTGTACCCGGTGCCCCTGATTCACAGGGTGGCCATTGTCAGTGAGAAGGGGGAAGTGAGGGGATTTCTGCGTGTGGCTGTGCAAGCCATTGCAGGTGAGTGGCCTTTGTCTAAATGAGACCTGTGAATTCTTTCCTATAGAAAAAGCAGGGTAGGGGCTGCAGAGATGGCTCAACAGTTAAGAACACTTCTAAGGACCCTAGTTCAATTCTCAGCACATGGCAACTCACATCTGTCTGTAATTCCAGTTCCATGGGATCTGACTCCCTCACTCAGACTTACATGCTGGCAAAACACCAATGCACTTAAAATATTTTTTAAAAAAGAAACAAATCATTGAAAAGGCAGGCTAGCTGAGTGGTGGTGGTGCACACCTTTAATCCTAGCACTTGGGAGACAGAGGCAAGCAGATCCCTGTGAGTTCAAGGCCCACCCTGTCTACAGAGTGAGTTTCAAGATAGGCTCTAAAGCTACTGAGAAACCCTGTCTTGAAAAACAGAAAACAAACAAAAAGAAGACAGGCTACCTCCATGTGGGTGATACTTGAGTCATACGTGAATGGTAGTGTGTTTGCTCAGCTTGGGGAAGGCCTCCGTTTGCTTCCTTTCTGTCACTTGATCCATGTCCCCACTACTGCAAGTATCGTAAGGAGACTTCACTTTAGTCTGGGATATTGCTATTTTGGAAAAAATGGTGTGTAACATTAATAACTCTTGGGTTGACTTTATAATAGTTATGGGCAATTTAGACAAGCATGGTGGATTGTGTAGTTTGAAGCCAGCCTGAGCTACATAGTAAGACATTGTTAAAAAGAAAAAAAAAGGCAGTCTTATTGGCACACCTCTTTGATCCCAGCATTCAAGAGGCAGAGGCAAAAAAAAAAAAAAAAAAGAGGCAGAGGCAGACATATTTCTATGAGTTCAGGGCTAGCCTGGTCTACACAGATATCCAGGGATACATAGTAAGACCCTGCTCTTGAAAAAAAAAAAAAAAAAGTCACAGGCTCTTTTGGTTTGAGATAGTGGTTTTTTGTTTTTGGGTTTTTTTCTCTGTATAGCTTAGCCTGACCTCAAACTCAGATTCTTCTTACCTCAGCATCCTAAATACTGGGAGTATAAACATACACCACAGTGCTTGGCTCAAGTGTTGGACATTTTACTTTTGTATTTTAGTTGTCTGGGTTACCCTGAACTCAACAATCCTCTTGTCTTGATCTGCTGACTGCTGGCCTCACAAGTATGAGCCACCACACCTAACTGATGAGCTTTGAACCACTATATCTTAGCTGTGTCAGAATAACAAAGGATTTTAGTTGTTCTTGCCTAGTTTTCTCTCAGAGTATTTCTAGGTAGACTTTTTTCCCCAGCTGAGCATAGTGGTCCACACCTGTAATCCCAGATTTTAGGAGGTGGGGGCAGGAAGATCAGGAGTTGAAGGTCAACCTTAGCTACAGAATGAGTTTGAGGCCCACCTGGACTCATGTATGAGACCCTGTCTCAAAACAGAGCAAAACAGAACACATTTATTTCACTGCTAAATGTAATACATGGATCAAAATATTTACACTTCCCATGATTGTGTCAACATTGTGAGGAAGAAATATGGCTATTTTCTATCTTAACTCATCAATGGTGGGCTTCATACAATGACCTCTCAGCCTTTATCCTATGGAAAACTGTCACATAGTCACCCACACTGAGTTTTATAAAAGTCTCTTCCATAAGTCAGTATGTTTCAATGTTCATTAGCTGTTATTGAGTATAGTGTTGTTAAGATATTAAGGGGCCAGAATTCCTAGATGTGACATTATAAATAAACTGAAGACTAAAACCAGTTCTTTTTTTTTTTTTTAACTATTCTCATTTGAGAAGAGGAAGGTAGTTAATCTACAAAAATAGTTGGAAGCAGGAGCTATAGCTTTTTTGCAGAGCCATTCATTCTTAACTAAGGTCTTTCCTCCTAACTTTATAACCCTCTAAGAGCTGCTCCCTCACACATGTACTTTCATTCAGTCTTTGCTGGCTTTCTTTCTGTTTAGCGGATGAAGAAGCTCCTGATTATGGCTCTGGAATTCGACAGTCAGGAACAGCTAAAATATCTTTTGATAACGAGTACTTTAATCAGGTAAGTATTTGGGAAAGAAGGAACACCTTGAGGAAAGAACAGGAAGTAAATGGATTTATGAGAAAAATGTCCAATGCTGGCACCTAACTCCTTTGTCTTTTCTGACGATTCTTAGTCCACAGATTATTTTATACAAATGATTATTGTACAAATAAAAATAAATCGAGAAATGGAAGAATATGCCATTTACCTAGCCTTGTCTTACTTACAGAGTGACTTTTCTTCAGTTGCAATGACTCGCTCTGGTCTGTCTTTGGAGGAGCTGAGGATTGTGGAAGGACAGGGTCAGAGTTCTGAAGTTACCACTCCTCCAGAAGAAGTCAATCGAATGAATGACTTGGGTGCGTAGGCAGAGTCCTTTAACTGGAGGAGACTCTCAAGGCGAAAACATTGACTACTACAGTCAAGTAACATAATTGATTTGGTCAACTAGAAACAGAAAGAATGCCCAGTTTCCTCCTCTTCATAGTCGGTGATCCAAGTATGTGTCATTTAACTCTTTAGATTTGAAGTCAGGCACTTTGCTGGATGGGAAGATGGTGATGGAAGGATTTTCTGAAGAGATTGGTAATCACCTGAAACTGGGCAGTGCCTTCACTTTCCGAGTGACTGTGCTGCAGGCCAGTGGGATCCTTCCAGAGTATGCAGACATCTTTTGTCAGTTCAAGTAAGCCACCTATCTTAGTTACTTTCCTGTTGCTGTAATAGAACACCCTGACAAAAAGCAGCTTAGAGAAGAGAAAGGGTTAATTTAGACTACAGTTTCAGAGCATTAGAGTCCATCATGGCAGAGAAAAAGGCATGGCAACGTGAGCAAGAAGTTAGCCAACCATATTTTTATTCACACACAGGCTGTAGAGAGAAAGAACAGGAAGTGGGGCAGGGCTATAAACCCTCAATGCTGCCCATCATGACGTATTTCCTCCTCAAGGCTCCATAACCTCCCAGACAGCTACCAACTGGAGCCCAAGTGTTAAAACACATGAACCTATGGGGGACATTTCTCATTCTGAAAAACCACACTATCCTTTTGCTGTGCCCATCTAGCTAGTTGCTAACTGCAGAGATTCCTTCTTGCTGTAGAGTGCTTTACATAGGTGAAAGATTAAGGCTCTTGAGATAAGAGATGGCAAGTCTCTGAAAGATTACTTTCTGCACTCAAGATGAGACTGGAAATCAAAACCCTACACTGGAATGACTCAGGGATCCCCAAGGAGTGTACAACACACATGCTAGAGGACTCTGCTTTGTCCCCCTTATTCTGGGAACATAGTATCTGAGTCAGATAAACCTATAGCATTTAGTGCTTTTCATGACAAAATGTCTTCTTAAGAAACAGTAGTTAAACAAATTGTCTAGCCAACAGTTTTACATTTTCAGCACTTTGGAAAAAGGAAATTACGTAATGTAAGAAAAGCAACGGCTGTCTACAGTGAGAGAAGCTGTATGGAGAGAAGTGGGGCCAGGTGCCCTGGAGCACTAAGCAGCAAGGCTGTCAGTGTCACTGAGAGATGGTGGCTCAGGGCCACTAGTGCTCATAGGTGTCTCTGGCAGATAAGTGAATGGCCAGGAGAAGGAAAAATAGAGGGGGGTGGTGGAGCAAGAAGAGGGGGTTAGGACAGGCAAAATGAAAAGGAAGAAAACAGAGGTACTGCCTAAGGGACTGGAGAGATGGCTCAGCAATTAAGAGCACTAGCTGCTCTTCCAAAGGACCTGGGTCCAATTCCCAGGCACTTAAACCATTCGTAACACCAGTTCCTGGAACTCTGATGCCCTCTTCTGGCCTCTGTGGGCACAAATGTGCACGACTGTAGCACACCAATGTATACACACATAAAATAAAACAAAATTTGTGTGTATTTTTTTTAAAAAGAGTTCAAAAAGATAATGCATAATCACAGAAAGCTGCAGTGCCAGCATGTTTTGGAGCATGTGGCAGAGGTGCTGTCATCCTCGGACATGATGAACTAATGTGAACATCAACAAGATTGTCCGACTGATATTTTCTCCACTATTCAACAGCCCCGCCCCAGGGACTGGAGAGAAGGCTCCGTGGTTAAGAGTATTTGTTGCTCTTGCAGAGGACCCAGATTCAGATCTGAACACCCACAGGGTGCTTAACAACCATCCTCAACTCCAGTCTCAGGTGGTCTGACCTCCTCTTCTGACCTCCACAGACACCAGATACACATGTGGTACATATGCGCACATGCAAGCGAAACACACATACACTTAAAATCAATCTAAAAAATAATAATAAATAAGCTGGCGGTTGTGGCACACACCTTTAACCCCAGCACTCAGGAGGCAGAGGCAGGCAAATGTCTGTGAGTTTGAGGCCAGCTTGGGCTTCATAGTGAGACTGTCTCAAAACCAAACAAATCCAGATCTGATGAATTCTGATGGAGTATTCATCTGTCTCTCCTCATTAAGCTTTTTGCATCGACATGATGAAGCCTTCTCCACTGAACCCCTCAAAAACAATGGAAGAGGAAGTCCCCTGGGCTTTTACCATGTACAGAATGTGAGTAGCCTGAACGTTTTGCCATATACCCCTCAGGGTTATGTACCCTGGTTCTGTTGGCTAAGGATGGATGATCATGTAAGGTGTGAGCTGTCTTTTATGCTCAGATGAGGGAAATTTGCAGAAAGAATGAACAGTAGAGATGGTGGCCAGGGCAGTGAGATGGTCTTCAGGGGAGGAGCAGCCAGTCTCTTACTGAATTACAGTAGCCCAGTGAATATGGTCTACTCTCTCATTGAAATCTCCCATCCACTTGAATATGAGTTCTTAAAAAATATTTCTACCCTAGAAAAGATAAGCATGTTTAATATAATTTTTGATAAGTTAACATAGTATCCTGTAAACTCTGGGGTACTTACATTATTGCTTACAAGTAATGTAGAAAATATTAAATACCGTCTGTAACTAAGTTAAGATCCAGAGTGTTTCCCTGGTAGCTGTGATTTATCTATTTATTTCCCTTACATGTATAGATGCCTTCATACATGCAGCAAGGAAGTAGGCTTTCCAACTTGTATACTTCATTCAGACTGGATTCAAAAATCGTCTTGAGGGGAGTTGTGATATTGGCTCAGTGGATATAAGCACTTACTGATGAGCTTGACGACTGGACTTCCATCCCTAGGACCCACATGGAGAGAACTAACTCACACAAGTTGTCTTCCTGCTCCCATGTGCATGCTATAGCACAAGTGCCATGCACACACAAATAAGTTAGTTAACATAAAAACCAGTCCTCTTCATCATAATACTGATGTTCATTAAGAATTCATTTTGTATTGGCTTGGTCCCATTTTCTGCACCATTGAGCCCTCACTTATGCACCTTGACTGTTACAACCCTGTCCTGTAGTTGAGAGAGCTGAAAGCACCCAAGCAGCTCCTGCCACTTGCCCAGATTACAAAGCCCGGAAGAGGCAAAGATGGAATTTAAACACAAAGAAGCCTGGCTGTAGCATCCAGAATCTTCATGCCTTCATCACTGCCCTCATGAAACTGCCTTTCTTTCTCTTAATCATGTTTACTCTATGAAGTGAGAAGGGGGCCTGAGCTGTGTTATAGCCCAGCTGCTAGAGTGCTGACCTCACATGCATGAGATCCTGCACTGGTGCTCTAGCACAGACAAAAATTTTTAAATGAAAGAGGAAAAGGCAATCAAAGAATAAAATTAAAAGGAAAGTATGAAATACGGGCTAGAGACATGGCTCAGTAGTTGAGTGTGTGCTGCTCTTGTAGAAGACTTGAGTTAGTTCCCCGCCTGCAACTGCATGTGACTCCAGGGACAGGGGATCCAAAGCCCTCTTCTGGCCTCTGAGGGTACTTGTTCACATACTCAGCCTGCACGTATTCCAGACACAGGTATACATACATATCTATAACTAGAAATAAAATATGCGTTTGATAAATGGTGAGCAGCTGTTTAACAAGCCACTGACTAATGAAACTACAGATGTTCCCAAGGACCTTAGAACTAAGGAGAAATGTAGTCATAGAGTATGGGAACATGAAAATAGTATTCATTAAATTCAAAAGGGAGCCGGGCATTGGTGGCACACGCCTTTAATCCCAACACTCGGGTGGCAGAGGCAGGCAGATCTCTGTGAGTTCAAGACCAGCCTGGTCTACAAAAGCAAGTTCCAGGACAGCCTCCAAAGCCACAGAGAAACCCTGTCTCAAAAAACAAAAAAATGAAACAATCAAAAGGGATGATTCCATATGCAAAGACTTAAGTTACTTGGTTGAGGGAGAATGGTTATGAAGAAAGAAGGTAGGTTTCCTGAAAGATGTAGCATAAATAGAAGGTGGAAAAAGAAGAAAGGGTGAATCACATTTGGCATTGTACCTTGCTCATAGTCCACAGTCAACACTTGTTTGTTTGTTTGTTTTACTCTTCTACTAATTCACCTGGGCTTTGGAGGAAAGGCCTTCCTAGCAGAGTTGCAGCTTGGGCCTTTTCTGAGGTACAACAAAGGAAAAAGCAGGTAGAGAGAAATAGACAAGTCTTGAAATAATGAGTAGAAACAGAGTGAGGTCAGTTCTACTGTGGAAGGTCTAGAATGCTGAAGCTTGGTAGAGTCACATTAGAATGAAAAGCAGAGGGACGCCTGTCTTGTGGTGTGGGAGGCCCGAGTAGTGGAGCCTCCGGCATGGACAGGTGTCTACAGTGCTGAAGGGCTGCTGGAGGCACAAATGTGTGCTTCCTTGTCGTCATCCTTCTGCTGCCTCACTTGACTGTCTTCTTCCCAGATCGCAGTGGAGGTCACTGAGTCATTTGTGGACTACATCAGAACCAAGCCCATCGTATTCGAAGTCTTCGGGCATTACCAGCAGAACCCACTCCATCTGCAAGGACAAGATCTTAACAGGTTTGAGTTAAGATGAGCAAAGACTTGGATTGTTGTTGCTGTTTTGGTTTTTAGTTCCTAGTAACTAGAAAAGTGTAACACAAAAAATGAAAGACACAGAGACTGATACTGGGGTTCAAACTTTGCAAGTTCTTCTATTTGTATTCGACAAAAAAAGGGGATTTGTGGTGATATATTACTTATGATTTATTAAAGCTGGCCTGAGGATTCAGAAAGCAAAGTCAGCCACAAGCCATAGAAGCCAGGCACACACCTTTAATCCCAGCTGTAGTGGCATCCTTCTTACTGGCTAGCTCTCTCTTAATTGATAACTCATTTCTGTTAATCTAAGTATTTCCTCATGGTCTTATCTTACCGGAGAAGGGTCGGGACCTGTTACTGCTTCCTCAGCTACATGGGGCATCTCTTCATGTCACCTCTCTCTGCCTACCTTTCCCAGAATTCTCCTCATCTCCTAGTCCTGCCTACCTTCCTGCCTCTACTGGCCAATCAGTGTTTTATTCATCAACCAGTAAGAGAAACATATATACAGAAGAACATCACCCAGCAGCCAGAAGCTAGGATTACACCTTTAATCCTCAGGATTAAGAAGTAGACGGATCTCTCTGAGTTCAAGGCAACCCAGGGATACACAAAATTGAATCAGTCTGAAAGAGTAACACACCTTTAATCCCAGTGCTAGATGGGTATAAAAGATAGAAGCAGGGACTTCAGTATTCAGTAGGAGGCATTCATTCTCTAGCCACACTGAAGATAGGAACATTCATTCTCCAGCCATGCTGAGGAGAGGCAGCAGGATCAGCCCATTCAGCCTGAGGCAGTGGTGAGAGCTGGCAGCTGGCTACTTTGCTTTTCTAATATTCAGCTTGAAATTTGAACCCCAACATCACTCTCCTAGTCTTTTATTTTTCGTGTTACAAGAAAAGAACTTTTTTTCAGGGATAACTGAGTAGTAGATTCATCCATTACCCTGTTCTTACTCTTGAAATGTCACCACCTTCTTGTAGCTAACCTGATCATTAAGTTGAGATACAGCAAGTTGAATTTTGCCCAGATGACTTTGAACACCTTCTTTTTGTTGTAAGAAGAAATTCTTAATAGGGTAGAAAGTTGGTGCAATAGAGCTAGAACATGCATGTAATAATTTCTGATACCTTTACTTTATGAAGTAGAGACTCAGGGTGGAGTCATCATAACTAATGAGGAAGCATAACACCCCAGCATGTTTCTATTTCCTTAAAAAGACTTAATCATTAAAACAAAAACAAACAAACAAAAACTCTTGTGAGTTTGAGGTCAGCCTGATCTACTGAGTGAGTTACTGGGCAGTCAGAGCTACACAGAGAAACCCTGTTTCTGAAAAACCAAATATTTAAACATGTCACTAATGTCAACTCTTAACTCTGCTTGGTCCTAGTGAATGTTTCCTTCTTTCTTTGTAGTCCACCTCAGCCTTCTCGGAGATTCTTCCCACCGCCCATGCCACTCTCCAAACCAGGTGAGCAGCTGAAACTGCACTCTGTCTGCTGCCCTTACGTCTATCTGAATGGTCTCCAGACAAGACTCACACTGGAATTCTGCCTCTCTGTGTCCTGATGTGTTCCTGTTCCTCTTACATATTTCTAGCGAGAATAGAATGCTTGCTTCCTGATCTAAGACGGAAGTCAGAAACAGTTGGGCTCTTGCTCCTCATTCAGACTTGATAACCTCTTCTTCCTTAATCTCTGCTTTGTATGTGATTAGTTCTGTCGCTTTACTTAGCATTTCTTTGCACATTAAATTGATTCTTTGTTGTTGGGACTTTTGTTTTTGACTGACACATAATAATTATGCATATTTACAATATAATATGATACATTTGTAACTCTATGCTTTGAGGAACACATGTACGTATCAGTATAGTTAGTATATCCATATCTTAAGTGTTTCTCATTTGTCTGTAGTACAGATATTCAAAATCCTTTCTGGTAGCATTTTAACATTGATAATCACAGATACTCTGTTATACACCAGAACACCAGATTTTGTTTCTCTTCATTTATCTTGTTTTCACTTTTCTTTATTTTTATTCTTTTTCCTTACTGCCCACTTACCAAATCCCTGCCCTCCCCCATGCTCATTCTCCCCCCTCTGTTCCCCATTCCCATCGGCCTTCAGACCATGAAAGAAAGACTGAGCTGACACGGTTTCTCATGTCTGGCTGTGTGAATGTGCATGTGCTGGACACGTTTTCTGAGCACGCCAGTGCGCTAGCTTCCTCTGCTGTTGCCACCTTCCAGAATGAGGCTGACTCATTGCTGCCTTTTCTCTCTCTGCCAGTTCCCAGCTTCCAGAGTGAAAGGGTGCCCAGACGATATGGTTAGTAGCTAAACCAGCTCTGCCTTAGATGTAGAACCAACTTTAGGCATTTTTCCTAAAACCTTATTCACCATATATGAAGCAGTAAGATTTCTGTTTGTTCCTCTGGTTTACTATAGATCTCTGCATGTTGTCAAGATCACAGCACAGGTCCCTCAGGTAGACTGTAGAGAACACCTTTTTACCTCTGTCTCTTTGAGGATGGGGTACCCTGATCTCTATCTCTCTGTGTGTCTGTCTCTCTGTTTCTGTCTCTGTCTGTCTCTCTCCCTCTCTCTCTCTCCCTCTCTCTCTGTCCCCCCCATCTCTCCTGAGACAAGGTCTCTAGAACAGGCTGGCCTTGAACTAGCTATATACCTGACAATGATCTTGAAGTGCTAGCCCTCCTGTCACATCTCCAGAGTTCCTGTACATGTATGTACCATCATACCCAGTTTATGGGATGCTAGGGTAAGAACCCCAAGCCTCATCTATACTAGGCAAGCATTCTCCCTACTCAGCTCCATCTCCTTCCCTCCTGATACTTCTTTGTATTTTTTGCAATAGTATTTTTTATTTTGATTTTTTAACTAGTAGTTGGGTTTTGTTTGTAGTGCCTGTTAGACTAGCATTTTATCATTGAATTACATTTAAGCATCCTCCCCTCCCCTCCCCTCCCCTCCCTTCCCCTCCCCTCCTATTCCCTCACTTCCCCTCCTCTCTGTCCCCTCCCCTCCCCTCTGTCTCCTCCCCTCTCCTCTTTCTTTCCTAAGTACTGAGGATTTGCTTGTCTAGATGACTATCAGAGAAATCACCAGCTTTCTTTTTCTTTCCCTGTGCTCTGGATTAGAGGCACTGACACACATAATGTTTTTCCTTCTTTGCAACTTTCACATTGAAATCTATCCTCTTAAAGACTGACATTAAAGATTCCTGTACTGGGGCTGGACCTGGGTTCAATTCCCAGCACCCATATGGCAGCTCACAACCATCTATAATTCTTGTTCCAGGGGAGCCGACACCCTCATACAGACATACATGTAGGCAAAACGCCTATGTACATAAAATAAAAATAGATACTTAAAAAAATCAAGATGCCTATACTTTTGCTGAGTGAACTTGGAACAGATTTTGACATGTTATAAAAACTTTTTTGAAGTTCCAGCCACCAAGTTAAATACCATGAACAAAACCAGCCTTGGGCAGAGCATGAGCAAGTATGACCTTCTGGTGTGGTTTGAGATCAGTGAACTGGAGCCTACAGGAGAGTAAGTCCAATTTAAAATTTTAAAGTATTTCAGAATTAAGAAACAGGGTTTTGAGCATGTTCTGGCTCATGCAATTATCTTGTCAAATTCCTCTTTTGTATTGAATTTTGGTGCCATGCTGTTTATCTATAAATGTTTATTAGAGGTCATCCAGTAGATTTGTTGACACTTTTGTTAGCAACAGCAATAATGGAGACCAAATGCTCTTGGTTATGAGGGAAGAAGACTACATGGTTCTGTGACGGTCGGTGGGTCGGTGCTTCAGGCTCAGATGGAGGTTACTAGGGACTAGTGAGGTGGCTCAGCAGATTAGGTCACGTGCTGCCAAGCCTGACAGTCTGAGTTTGACCCTGGGACATACATGGTCACACATGTGCCATGGTAACAAGCAAAATACACACAACACACACACACACACACACACACACACACACACACACGTATATATTAGAGTACTAATCTCAGGGCAGTGGGGGCCTCTGGATATTTCCCTGAATTAGAATTTTCAACCTTAGCCAGGCGTGGTGATCTCTGTGAATTCAAGGCCAGCTTGGTCTACATAGTAAGGTCCAGGATAGCCAAGGTTACACAGTGAAACCCTGTCTAGAAAAACCAAAAAAAGGAAAAAAATTCTACCTTTCCCCTGCAGGAAACCACTTTATATCCCCTGTGTCACTGTAGGTATTGTGCAGCACCTTGGCCTGTACCTGTGAGAGGTTTGTAGTGACAGGTTTGTAGCACCCCTCTCTAGCTGTGCTGACCAAAGATACGCCTGGAAAAAGAGCCACTCTCCTAAAGTAACAGGAACATACGTGTCCTTGTCTTCATGAGCTGTGTTAAATGATCAATGCAGTTATTGTTTCTAGTTGTTCGTTAAATGCCTTGGGAAGAACACAAAAGAGCCTTGCCGCCTGTAAGAGGCAAGCAGGTGCACGCGTTAACACTGATTGGGGAGTAACTGCTATGCAGCCTTCCCCCATGTGTAATGCAGCAAACCACCACTGTCAATGATCAGCTCTATGAGCCATTTGTGAATGTCTGCTGTGCATGCTGCCCTGTGTAAATATAGCTCTGTCATTCCTCAGTTGTCAGTCACTTTGAAGAATGTGACTTCCCATAAACAGATCTGTAATGTTATCTATCCTAGCTTGCATTATGAAGAAGTAATTACAGTGATGGTTTCTACTGAATTAATTGCTTTCTGGAGCTTAAAATATTTGGAATTTTAAATTTTCTGCTTCTTATTTCTACCCAGTTCTATAACAGTTATACATTATTTACTGAATTATTTTGCAAGGGAACCAAAAAAAAATCATTGTTCTTTTAGCACTCCAGTCAGGCAGATATGATGAGAAACAGATACATGAAAAGGATGACAGATGCAAGTGGCTCTGTGGTTAAGTGCCTGCATGGGATCAGACATGGAATCAAGTGTAGAAAAACAAAGATCCCCAGGGCTACAGAAATCCAGGAAGACTTGGCAGGTGAAGTACCCTTGACCTCTGTCTTTTGTGTTTTTACTCTTATAGGTATATTCCAGCTGTGGTTGACCATACAGCAGGCTTACCCTGCCAGGGGACATTTTTGCTGCACCAGGTACTGAAGTCTGAGAAGAACTGACTTCTCAACTTTTCATCTCTATTTGAAAGGGGTAAAGTGGAAGGACATTTTTGCTTTGTCCTGCCCCATTTTTGCAGGGTATAAAATGGCTGGGAATTGAACACAAAACTTTAAATACTGTTTCTATTTGTATTAGGGTTCTCTAGAGCAATAACTTTCTCATATACATACATACATACATACATACGGAATTTAATTAGAATGACTTACAGACTGTGATCCCAGTTAGTCCAATAATGGCTGCCTGTGAACAGAAGGTCCAAGAATTCAGTATTTGTTCAATCCATGAGGCTGGATGTCTCAGCTGGTCTTTAGTATACGCTGGAGTCCCAAAGAAGTAAGTTCTAATGTCAGTGAAGGAATGGACTTGCTGGTGAGGCGAGGGCAAGCAGACAAAGAGCGAGGCTTCCTTCTTCCATATCCTTCTAGAAGTTTTCAGCAGAATGTGTGGTCTCCTTGCTCTAAAAACATAAACTTTCAAGGTAACATATAAGTATGGACTATGCAGTATGCACAAGTCAGTTAAATGTGATTTTTTTTTGTTTTATGTTTGAGCAGGTAAAAGGCATCCGTCAACTTTCTTAGTCAGTTTGGACTATATAATCAAACTATAGTATAAATATCTCTACCATGTGAAAGGATGGCATGTAATAATAAGTCACGAGGACTCCACATAGCCATCTCATCTCAGAGCTGTTCCCAGGTCCAGGCATCAGCTTACATGTTGCCTGTCCTGTAGTCTTCTTTGGCTTCTTCCCCCATGTCTGTAGCCAAGATACTCAGGAGGTCACCCCCTGTCAAGTGTGGTCTCTGTTAATCTAGAAGGAATCCATGGCCTTTCATTTTTAGTGGAAACAAAAGCATAACCTCTTTCCCACCACAACACATTGTCAGACTCCATTTTGAAGTTCAGACATTTTTAAAGCATATAGGTTGGTTTAATTTAGCAGTTTCCATAATTCAATATCTCTTAGTAAGCTATTGTTTTTGTAAATTAGCATTTAAAAATTCAAAAGTTAGTAAGATGTCATATAAAATCCAGACTGCCTGTGTATTTTCCATCCTTATATGGCTCATTTTTTATTACTTGACTCTTTCTTTAAAGACTATTATTTTTTTTAAACTTTTTGGTTTTTTTTTCAAGACAGGGTTTCCCTGTATAGCTTTGGAGCCTGTCCTGAAACTAGCTCTTGTAGACCAGACTGGTCTCAAACTCACAGAGATCCACCTGCCTCTGCCTCCCGAGTTCTGGGATTAAATACATGTGCCACCACCACCTGGCCTTTAAACTTTCTTATGATTGTCTATACTCATCTTTTTTCTTAAGCCTACACATACTGTTAAGCACACTATAACCTTTTTACAGTGGTTTTTTTTTTTTTCATTTTTATCTGACCATGCTATATACTGCATACCTGTAACCTTGTCTGTCTGCATGAGCAACACCTTAATCCCGCCATGTGGCTTAGCTCATGGGACACTGTCGGCTCAAGCATGCAGGCAGCTTCTGGGAAATGTGTTTCTGAAACTCAGCCAGCATGAGAGACACAAGAATAGGAAGCTGTGTTTGGCTCCATTTTGGTGTGTTTAGAATCTCTTTTTAAGCTTTCTCAGGTCATATGTGGATATACATGGCTGGACATTGGACATCATTTGTAGGTGGAGTTTTTCATTGGGACCACTGGCTCCCCAGCAATGACACAGAGACTTATTATTAATTATAAAAGCTTGGTCGAGCCAGCTGAAAGTTTGAATGGATTAAAAAATACACTTTATAGGGCTGAAGAATGGCTCAGCAGTTAGGAGCACTGACTGTTCTTTCAGAGGACCCAAGTTCAACTCCCAGCACCCACATGGCAGCTCACAACTGTCTGTAACTCCAAGATCAGACAAAACTGTAGGCAAAACAACAATGCACATAAAAAAATAAATTGCTTAAAAAATACACTTTATAAATGGATGCTACTCATTTGGTAAAATTATATTCAAAGCCTAATATGCTACTACACTTTTGTAATTCTAGCATCCAGGAGGTGAAGGTTGGAGGATTAGGAATTCAAGGCCAGTCTTGGCTTCTTAGTAAATTCCTGTCCAGTTTCAGCTACATAACACGATCCCATCTTTAAAAAAAAATTTAGCCAGGCCAGTCATGGTGGTAGCTCAAGCCTTTAATCACAGCACTTGGGAGGCAGAGGCAGGTGGACTCTTAGCTCAAGTCCATCCTGATCTGCAAAGTTAGATCCGGGATAGCCAGAATCGATGGATGGATGGATGGATGGATGGATGGATGGATGGATGGATGGATGGAAGGAAGGAAGGAAGGAAGAAAGAAAGAAAGAAAGAAAGAAAGAAAGAAAGAAAGAAAGAAAGAAAGATGTAGCCATTGCTCAAAACAACTTGTCCAGGTTTCCATCCATGTTGCATGGAGTTTCTGCTCTAGAGCGGTGATTCTCAACCTTCCTGATGCTGTGACCCTTTGCTACAGTTCCTTATGTTGTGGTGACCCCAACCATAAAATTATTTTTGTTGCTACTTCATAACTATAATCTTGCTAGTTATGAATCTTACTGTAAATATTGATATCAGGATACCTGGTATGCAACTCACAACGGGGTCGAGACCCACAAGTTGGGAACCACTGCCCTTGAGCATACTATAGGGTCTCAATCAATCAGTCTGTTGGTCTGTCTATGCCTTCCCCACCTCTGTGTGTGTATCTGTCTGCATGTCTGTCCCACCCCACCCCTGCCTCTTCCTCTGTCTCTCTCTCCTAGAAAGCATGAATTCCTCTTGCATCGACCTTCATGCTTTGATTAGAGGTATGAAACACTGTGCCCTACAAGGCATCTCTTAAAACCAGGTCACCCACTCACTACCTTGTTAAGTTCCTAACACACTATTCTAAATTGTAGTCTTGTTCCATTCCCTAGGGCATCCAGCGACGGATCACCGTGACAATTATCCATGAGAAGGGCAGTGAGCTCCACTGGAAAGATGTGCGTGAGCTGGTGGTAGGTGAGTGTATCCAACAGCTGAGGACAGCCTGACTCTAGAAATGTCATCATTCCTTGTTGAGTGCAGCAGAGGGGTAGAAATGTGGAGAACACAGAGGAGAGAAAAGAGAGGCCCTGAGTTTCAAGCTCTCTTGAATGCTGGGGTTGTGGCTTAGGAGTAGAGGCCTAGTCCTAGTTCAGTTCCCTCTACTGTAAAAAGGAAAGAGACTCCTTTTCCTAGTTCCCGATACTATGCCATCCTACTGTTAACAGTGAGTATGGATCTGAGCTAGAGGTTATGAGAAGATCATGAAGAAATCTCTGCTCATTCTGAATGTGCAGTTAGTTAGGTGTAGAATAATTAGATAAATCAGTGCCATGGTTCAGTGGTGGAGTCCTACCTAACATATGCAAAGCTTTGGCCTTCACCCTCGAATAGGAAAACAAAATGAGACAACCTTGGGAAATCATGTAGGATCCTACACTTATCCAAGTGATCTCTTCTAAGCACCTAATTACAGAGATTGAAAAGTGTATGGGGCCGGGCAGTGGTGGCAAGGCCTTTAATCCAGCACTTGGGAGGCAGAAGCAGCCAGATTTATGAGTTTGAGACCAGCTGTCAACAGAGTGAGTTCCAGGACAGCCAGAAACTCTGTCTCAAAAAAGAAAGTAAGTGTATGTAAGAGAGAGACAGAGACAGATAGCAAGAGAGAGGCAAATGTTCTTCTACTGAGGTATTGGTACTAAAGATTGAACCTCAGGGTCTGGAGAGATGGCTTAGGGGTTAAGAGGTCCTGAGTTCCATTCCCAGCAACCACATGGTGGCTCACAACCATCTATAATGGGATCTGGTGCCCTCTTCTGGTGTGCACTGTATACATGATAAATAAATAAATCTTTAAAAAAAAAAATTGAACCTACAATCTTGCACATGTGGTACCTGTAAACTGTCTCCTTATACCTTATTTTTTTTTAAGACAGGATGTCACTAAATTGCCCAGGCTGGCCTTGAACTTGTGATCCTTCAGCAATATAGCTAAGATTATAGGCCTGTGCCACCAGACTTTTTGATTTAACAAAGTTACGTCTGTGTTTTTATATGCTCACCTCTGGATTTTTATCCCTCTAAGGTCGGATTAGGAATAAACCTGAGGTGGATGAGGCTGCAGTTGATGCTATCCTTTCCCTAAACATCATCTCTGCCAAGTCCCTGAAGTCCTCCCACAGCTCAAGCAGGTAGGACACCCTGGGACACAGAAGTGTCAGCACTGCCTTGTGGATGGCCTCACATTAGACTCCCTGTCTCTAAGGACGCCTGGTGCGGATGAAGAAAGGAATTCCCTTCTCGCTTAGAAACTGCTGTAGACACTAGGCATGCTGCTCCACATCTTTAGTCTCAGCCCTGGGAGTCAGAGGCTGGAGGATCTGCATGAGTTTAAGGTCAGCCTGGTCTACAAAGCAAGCTCCAGAACAGCCAAGACTACATAGAGAGACCTTGTCTCTAATTAATTAAATGATTAAAATAAAAATAAAAAAATTCTGGTTTCAGAGCTGGACAGATGACTCAGTGGCTAAGAGTACATCCTGCTCTTGCAGAGGACCCAAATTCAGTTCCCAGCATGCATATCACATGACTCTAGAACAGTCTCTTAATTCCAGCTCCAGAGAGATCCAGTGCCTCCGGCTTCTGTGGATACTTGCACTAACATGCATATAAACATATATCATTTAAAATACTAAAAAATAAGTCTTTATAGCCGGGCATTGGTGGCGCATGCCTTTAATCCCAGCCCTCGGGAGGCAGAGGCAGGCGGATCTCTGTGAGTTCGAGGCCAGCCTGGTCTCCAGAGCGAATGCCAGGATAGGCTCCAAAGCTACACAAAGAAACCCTGTCTTGGAAAAAAAAAAAAAAAAGTTTTTACAATAAAAATAAAAATCTCTTTCTCTCTTTGTCCAACCGGCTGCCTAAAAAGAAAAAGAATTAGAGATGTGTGTTCAGTTTTTGTTTCTCATTCCCTCCCTCCCTCCCTTCTTCCCTCCTTTTCTTTTTTATTGTTGTTTTTGTTTTTTGAGACAGGGTTTCTCTGTGTAGCCCTGGCTGTCCTAGAACTCACTCTGTAGACCAGGCTGACCTTGAACTCAGAGATCTACCTGTCTCTGCCTCCCAAGTGCTGGGATTAAAGGCATGCACCATCACCACCTGGTCCTAAAGATGATTTAAAACTTTAAACTAGATTCTCCATAAATTTCCTTTTTTATATTCAAGTGTAACAGGCAGTGCAGAAAGTATATAGCCAACCTTACCTTTCCATATTAGCCTAGAGCTAAGTCTTTGGGGTGTCTGACTTACCTGGGCCAAGAGAAAGGTTAGGTTATTGTCTAGGATAATCTACCTCCTTAAATTGGCAGGGCTGCGAACCAGGAACCCATGCACATCCACTGTGGTCTGGGGACACTGCCTTCGCTGTGTGAAATTAATTCTCTATGCTGCTTTCTGCCCTGAAAAACTTGCTATCTGTGTGTTGGAAAAGGAGTCAGGATAAGACAGGAGGCAGAAATAGAATGAAAAGGTTTGGGCCATGATTATTTTTTTTCCTTGTGTTACAGTTTTGATAGGAAAAGAAGAAAAACAAGCCTGTGTTTGCTTTTCTGCATGTAAGAAGAGTAGGCATGGCCTGTGGAAAGAAAGGAGTGGGTTTGAAGGGGTACTGTGTCTGGGAGCAGGGTAGCATTGCCTCTTACTGGGCAAACCATAAACAACACAATGTCTCAGAAGTCAGCAGAGATACCACATGACTTCCTCTCCTCTCAGGTGTTTAAAGCCAGCATTCAGCTGGCATTCATCACTACAACATTGGGACTTTGAAAAATGGGTTAGATGGTGCTTGTGCTGAAGGTCACCTTGAAAAGTCCTCAGACCCCGGGCAGCAGCAGGGCAGCAGCAGGGCAGGTGCTATATGAAGTGAGTTCAGCTTCATCAGAAGCAGCTAACCTTTTATAATAGAAGTTCAGGAATGCTTACTCAAACGAAAGATACACATCCTGATCTCTTTCTTTTGTATCTTATTGTGTGTACATGTGTGAGGGCGTGCATATAGGGAAGTCAAAGGAGTCACTTTTCTCCTTCCACTGTGTGAGTCCTGGGAAGTGAACTCGGGTCATGATGCTTCCGGGCAGGCTGTCTCACCAGCCTGAACATTCTGTGTCAGCTGAAGCTTTGTGTGTACCCTTTCATTATCAAGCTCTTGCTGTAGGTCGAAGTCTTTAATTATGGGGTCATTTGTTGGAATTCTGATTCTTTCTTGTAAAGATCACATTCACAATAGATGATGTAATTTTCTAGTTTGTGGTACAAGAGCTGGAAGCTGAGAGGAAGAGAGGGTTAGAGGATTTAAAGTGGGAAGCCTTGGGCTGGAGAGATGGCTCGGAGGTTAAGAGCACTGACTGCTCTTCCAGAGGTCCTGAGTTCAGTTCCCAGCAACCACATGGTGGCTCACAACCATCTGTTATGAGACCTGGTGCCTTCTTCTGGTGTGTAGATATACATGGAAGCAGAATGTTGTATACATAATAAATAAATAAAATCTTTAAAAAAAAAAAGTAGGAAGCCTTTGTGGGCCACATAGTGAAAGCGTGTCTCAAATTAAAATAAAAGAAAATCTAACCTAAATTAAATAATTCAGAATTTTCACATTAGAAAAATCATTTAAATTGGTCTTCACAGAAAGTTCTTTTTACCTTCATATTTGATTAATATGCCTAATGTTTAATTAAATGTAAATGATTATAATAATAAACACAGCTGGCATAAAGAGATTTAAGAGGGATGGAGAAATGACTCAGAAGTTAAGAATGCTGACAGCTCTTCAAGAGGACTCAGATTGGGTTCAGACCCACGTAGCCACTCAGAACTGTCTGCACCTCAGTTCCTGTACCCTCGGTATATGAGACACCTCTCTTGTTTGGAATATTCAGATGTTTATCTTTTAGGGAGATCGAGAGCTGTGTTAGTTACTTGTCTTGTTGCTGTAACAGAATTCCTGGGAAAGCAGTTTAAGGAAGGAGCATGATGGATCCATCATGGTGGGGCAGCAGGAGTCTGAGTGATTAACACTGGTGCTCAGCTCTCTTTCTTCTTTGCATTCAGTATGGCACCCCAACCCTGGAATGGCACAGACCTATCCCACCTCAGTTAACTAATCTAGACAGGCCCTCACACATGTGCCCACAGAGCTAACTATTCTAGGCCCTGTCAGGTTGACACAGTTTAACCATTACAGGCTCCTAGGTTGGTATGGTGACTTGCTAAGTGAGTTTGACTTAGAGGGCTCATGTTCTAGTTATCTAAGGGCTAGTGTTTACACTGAATGCATAGATTGCAGATTGGTAGTACCATATATGTGTCTCAGAGGACTTCTAACTCATGACAGTAGAGAATAATTGACAAGACCCCGATTCTCTTTCTTCCCACACCTACACTGTGTTAACCAGTTGCCTTGGTTTTCTCCTAACTCAACAGCAGTTTCTTACCATGTCAAGTACAAGGTCTCCATAGTGGTGGTGGTGGGGAATTAATAGATCTGATCTCCATAATCCCATTGTCTATCCATTCTTTTTCTTAACGAAGTCTCAGGAGAAGGGTCCATGTTACTTTAAGTCCCTTACCAGATTGTGTCCCAGAGTTCTCTGTTCATTGTCTGCCCAGGGGAATTCAGTTTGCTTGTTAGCATATTTTGCCTTTTTTTTTTTAAAGTATTTTTCCTGTGTTTCTTTCTATGTGTTTGTTTTCTCTCTCCCTCCCTGTCTTTTGGTCACCCTACTAATGAAAGCCTTTCTGTTTTTGCAGGCTCTTTCTTGATAAGGATATTCCTAGGTACTTCTGCTGGTTTTTTTGCACATAGAGACTCTAGTTAACAGAATGCTCTCTGCCTTGTGTTGCTTTGTTGCTGTTTTGATTCAGTGGCTTATTCCCTATGTGAACCTAGAAAGAGCAAGACCTTCTTTTGCAACCTAAGAATGCTGCTGGTACCTTAGGTTCTTCTGATGTGTGTAGAGTTCTGTGTGTAACTTCTCAAATTACTTAGTGCTCTAAATTAGTTTCTCATTCCACATATGAAATTTTCAACACATCTTCAGGTTGTCCTTTTCTACATCCCAAATAGAATATTTCACATTTCATATGAAACTTCAGGCTTTGTTCTCTGACGTTCATTCCCTCCTCCCTTCCCCTCTCCCCACCCCCACCTCGCTCAAAAGCTGGTGAGTTCCCTGCTCTATATCTTTGTTTTGTTCTGTGCCTGCCACACAGAGACCAAATTGGCTGTTTGGGTAGTTGAGTCTATAAGAAGAAATGTTTGTTCGTTTGTTTACTATTTTATGTTTTGTTTTTCTTTTGGTTTTTCTTTTTAGACAGAGTTTTGCTGTATAGACCAGGCTGGCCTTAAACTCACAGAGATCTTCCTGCCTCTGCTGAGTATCAGGGTTAAAGACCGTGTGCTACTGCATATGGCTTCATGTATTTTATTATATTTTTTAAAGATTTATTTATTTATTGTATACACAGTTTTGTGTCTGCATGTGGCCCTGCAGGCCAGAAGAGGGCACCAGACCTCATTACAGATGGTTGTGAGCCACCATGTGGTTGCTGGGAATTGAACTCAGGACCTCTGTAGGAGCAGATAGTGCCCTTAACCACTGAGCCATCTCTCCAGCCCTCCTGGCGTCTTGTATTTTAAAACATTTCTTTTTTTATATCTATATGTCTTAATATGTTTTTCTTTGGGGTCTAGAAAAAAATTTGGAATGGGAAAAAAAGTCCTTTTGGAATAGGAAAATTCCTGATAGTGAAGTGTTTCCCTATTTGTCTTACTTGATTTAGGAAGGAAAACTGAAGGAAATAATGATACATAGGATTTGCTGTTGTAAAGGTAGTGGAACTTGGGAGAATGCAGCCTAAAAATGATTACAGTGGCTTATTCCCTATGTGAATCTCAGGCAATAGCCACCTTCATTCAGAGCATCAGACAGTTCTATTCTGAGGGTTAGGAGGAGTCACATGAGGACTGTGTAAGCACAAGGATAAGCTGCACGTAGCAAAAACATGGTTTTCCATGGAGGCACAGGAACAAATAACAAGGGCCAGCTGTCATGAATAATCTGAAGTAAACTCAGTCCTGCCTGAAACACCTGGGAGGAGAACAAAAACACATCCCAAGGACAATTCTGTGTTTTGAGGAAACTAAGGTCACAAGAGTCTTCTCTTATTTTCTTGGAGTTTTCTCACAAATACTCAGAATTCTCCTCACACAACTTTATTCCTAGACTGTGTTCCAACAACACATGAAAAGGTGGCCCAGACCGTTATTTGGCAGATGTATAAATATAATGAGTTCAGATCTTAGTCTGGATATCACCAGTGGTAGAGATTCTCTGAGTGAATTCAACAGGGTATGTCATTGGCAGGAGAGTAGCCCACCAGACTCTCCTCTGTCCTGTCTGTCTGTCTGTCTGTCTCTCTCTCTCTCTCTCTCTCTCTCACACACACACACACAGAGCATGAAGTGTAACCATAGTGTAAGAAGTAGTTGTTGCCACACTTGGTAACACAGCACTGAGGAGGCAGAGGCAAGCAGATCTCTGTAAGTGTGAGGCTAAACTGGTCTGTATAGAGTTCCAAGCTATCCAGCTCTAAATAGTGAGACACTGTTTCAAAATAAAGTTGTTGTTGTTTTTTTTTAATTAGAAACAGAATTCCCTTTGGCTTAGCCAGGTCTGTGCTTTTTTTTTTTTTTTTTAATTAGAAACAGAATTCCCTTTGGCTTAGCCAGGTCTGTGGTAGTAACATTTTTGCTTTAGATTAAGTGAAGCCTTAACTTGGAGTGTGAAAAGACTTTCCTACAAGGCTGTAAACATTGCCTCAATAGGAAGAGTCAGCTGGGAAGTCTCAGGAGTGGCCTAGGTGGAGCTCCGTGGGGGTTTGGGACTGAATGAATAAGCCCTAAGGACAGGCAACAGTGATAGAAACATCTGTCATAGCACCCCCTATTTACTTTACCATGTGTGTCCCCAGCCCTGGCAAGCTGACATGTAGTCCCATCCCAGAGAGCTGATTCAGAATAAAAGAGCAGCTCTCAGCAGGGTAGAGCTCTTTTGCTGAGTGTCATGTCCCATTAGAGTTTTTCTTAAACCAAATTCAAATGAAGATTTTACTTTAAACAGGATTGGGGTGCTGCATCTATAAGCCATAAAAACAGCATTTTTGTTACACTTTGGGTTACTTGATGACTATCTCACTAGTTGTTTTATTGCTCTCTGTATGCCTTTCTGAGTCTGTACAGAGAATTTTCTTGACTCACATGTGTTACCTCCAACACTCAACATTGAGAAACAGTCACATTCTAGAAAAGCACTGAGTAAGAACAGCTACAAAGAAGAATGGCCACACCTCAAACCTTCGCAGTGGAAGGATGAGGTGTGGTGAGGGAATTATTCAATTTCAGAAAGTTGTCTGCTCATGTTTTCTGGAGGAAGATGCATAGGGGTGTGCTTAGACAGAAGCTATGCCTGTTGACGGTCATTGGAAATCTAGACAAGCAGAAATGGGAACAGGGCACTGTAAACACTTTCTGTGTGAGCTCTGTTCTGTTCCTGAGCTTGTGTTGTGAGGGTGTGGGCTTGCAAGAGGCATCTCCCTGTGAGGTGTCAGAGTTCTAAGAAGGAAAATGGTACAGAGCTTGGAATTCTTCTCTAGCCCCACCAGTGTCACCTTGGTGTCATTTTTGCTACTAGGAAGAACTAATATTGAAGAATTTAAACTTGTTGGTGAACGTCTGCTAAATTCAGCTTATGATTATTTCTTAAATATAAGGTTGTTTTTCAGATATATTTAGAAAGAATGAATGGTAATTAGCTGCCTCTAGTTTTGTAAAATTACTCTATCCTATTGATAGATCACTTTGTGTTCATTCATTGAAATTGCATTCTCCATAACTAAACTCTGCTTGTTCTGCCTTTGAGCATCCCATTGAGTATTTCTTGGTGTCAGCAGAACTGTCCTGTGGAATCTGGATATGGGAGCTGACACTTACAGTTACTGAGTCCCTACTTAACCTCATTATTAAAACAGACAGGACAGCTCGCTTGGTTTTTTTCCTCCCAGACTCTGTCCACATTCTTCTCAATTCTTTTGAATGCTCTAACAATTTATGTTGTTGGTAGTGCTGGCTTTGTTTGAGAATGAGCTTTGTGCTGTGCCCTGCCCAGCCTGGACCTTGGTATTTAGACAAAGCTAGACTCAAACTGAGCCGCCCTGACTCTGCCTGAGCGTTGCAACTGCAGCCTTGTGCCACCTGTCTTCATGTTTATAGCAAAAACTTTATCAGAAATCAGGGGTGGGAACACAACTAAGTGTCCCTAAACGGTGGCTGGGCACCTGCCCCTTCCTCTAGGAGAGAGGTCCCCTCATTGTTAGAGTGTGATAGATAAACACGAGTGCGGTGGTTGACGCTGACGAAGGGTTCCTCAGGATCCCTGACACTAGCACCCCTCTGCTGCTGCCGTGTCAGGTACTTTGGGTTGACACTTTGTCTTTCTGCCCTCAGGACCTTCTACCGTTTTGAGGCTGTATGGGACAGTTCCTTACATAACTCTCTCCTTCTGAACCGAGTGACACCGTATGGAGAAAAGATCTACATGACCTTATCTGCTTATCTGGAGGTGAGGGGCCCAGAGCTTGAGCGGGCCCTGAGGAGTGGGCAGCGACAGGGGCGCTCAGCAAATTTCAACTTATTTTTATTCTTTTCTCTCCATGCCCTTAAATTGTTCATTTGATTGTACTTTGCTAACTGTTCTGATTGTTTTAGATTCTGTTCCAGGGCTCTATTTAGATAAAAGACAACACTGTTTTGATTACTTAAGGTTCAGGAGCCCAATCAGCAATTAAGACATTTTATACCATGCTTTCCTGGTTGTTAACAGAAATGAATAGTTCTAAGTTTTAGAACAAGCCTGAGTTCTTCTGTTGCTAATTTTATTTTTTGAGACAGTCTGATGTATCCAAAGCTTGCCTCAAACTTACTATGTAGCTGAGGGTGACGTGGTGCTCCTGTTTCCACTTCCCAGGTACTAGGATTACAGGCATGCATCACCATGCCTGATCCGAGCTTGAGTTCTAATCTTTGTGTTATCACATATGGCTCTGATGTCCCTGGATAAGCTCTCTCCATGTCTCAGTTTCTTCATTTTTAAACAGCGTGAAATGATAGCACTTTCCATCAATGGAAAATAAATGTGTTCATCATGAATGCACCTGGCCTTCCATTAAAGTCTCTGGTGAAGCAGAAGCCTGCCTATCTCCATAGCTGGACCCAGCTTTCCAAACCTTGTGTACAGCCTCTCATCACAGATGCTCTGCCTGCATCCAATCAGTACCTTACCTTATCTGCTTGCAGTTGGATCATTGCATCCAGCCGGCTGTCATCACCAAGGATGTGTGCATGGTCTTCTATTCCCGAGATGCCAAGATCTCACCACCACGTTCTCTGCGAAGTCTGTTTGGTAGTGGTTACTCAAAGTCACCAGACTCGTAAGTTTTTAGAAAAACTTTATTTTCCAAGTCTTTGCCCAGTCCAACAGAAAGAAACAACAGCCCTTAGAATACCCCATCTTCTGTTGCCAGTTAATCATCTTTAAGCATCCATGACTGAGACCTGAGATGCAATGAATCACATAAGGCATGTCATACAATGTTAATGGATGCATGAGCTGATGAAGGGAAGGAGAATGTGGAGTTACTGTACATATTTAAGGCATACAAATATATTTGAGAATATACGGCATGGCTACATGAATATCACCACCCAGCTTAATGAATAAAATAAGTTACTGTATTACAATGAAAGATTGAGTGTCCCTTCCTATTCACCCAGAATTGTTGATCATTCCACCCCAATCAGACATTTTCCTGTCTTCTCTTGTGTCAAGAAATTTTTCATTTTCTCATTTATACTATAAATTTTCTAGTTTATCCTATTTATTCATTCTATTGAAGTAACAGTGGTCAAAGGATTAAAATGAAAATAAGCTCCTCTTAAGAGAAGGCAAGTAAACAGACAAACAGTTACTGATAAAAACACATGTCTTAGCTAGGACCAGAAAAATGGCTCATGGGTAAAAGGGCCTGCCATCAAACCTGAAACCTGAGTTTGAGCCCCAGAACCCATGTTACGGTAGCAGAAAACTGACTCCCCAAGCTGTCCTTCAACACACACACACACACACACACACACACACACACACAGAGGAATACACCACACCCAGACACACACACAGACACAGAGTTAATAAAAATGAAAAAAGGAGTGTGTGCATCTGAGTGTAGAATTGTAGCCCCTTGAGAAGACACACTCTTTCTTAAGTAAGCATATCTAGGTTTTCCTTACTTTTGTGCTACAAAACATTCAGCAGTTGTTCTACTTTATTTTTAAATAGCAACCGAGTTACTGGAATTTATGAACTGAGCTTATGCAAAATGGCAGATACTGGTAGTCCAGGTAAGCTGTAACTATACCATATGCTTCAAAAGTGTTACTAAAAATTTGGAATCTTATTCATGTTGGAAGGTGGGAAATCTTTTAGAAACTGTATATTTTAGGCCAGGTGGTGGTGGTGCATTACTTTAATCCCAGCACTTGAGAGGCAGAGGAGGTGGATCTCTGTGAGTTCGAGACCAGCCTGGTTTACAGAGTGAGTTCCAGGACAGGCTCCAAAGCTACACAGA